TCATATACATATACATACATATATATACATACATACATACATACACACATACATACATATACAGACATATACATACATATACATGCATGTACGAACATACACACACACACACACATATATATATATCTACTTAGCATTGCCGTAGCACTTACCGCCTTGGCCTGATTTGGTTTGATACAACGGCAGTAGTGAGGAGCGGTGGCTGTGATAGTGGCCATAAGGTTACCGAGAGATGCCTTAAACTTAGAGGCGACCGTGGATGCCGTGTGCTTCTTCGCTCCCGCAGCACTGGCAGTCTCTTTGGTGGCTTTCTTCGCAGGGAATAACTGGGCTACAAACGGTATCGTCGACGCCTCCAGAAGCCCAGACTGAAGTAGACAATAGGGTTTACGGTTTACGGTTTAGGGATTTATTCTGATATATGGGTACGTGAAAAGTCAACAAATGTTATCGTTAACTTTCCTGAAGCCCAGACAGAAGTAGATTATAGATGAACGATGAGATATCGGTCGAGGGATTATACCATACAACAACGGCATGAGATGTCAAGAGAGAGAGAGAGAGAAAAAGATTCCGTTGGCACGTTGCTAAGCTTGAAACTTGGAAACACACACTCACAAAAAAACGAGTATTGAAGTTTGTTACATAGCCACATTCGTATTTAATTTGTTATACGCATATTTTTCTAAGAGATTCTGACTCGGGTAGAAGCTTTGTTTTGGTTTTGGGTCGTTAACGGACACCAGGTTGAGATGAATTGTGGCCGGTAGGTCGACTTCCGATGAAGTGCATAGATTGAAGTACTTATACATATACGAAAACTTGTATACACCAACAGGTGGAAAGAGAAACAAAGACGCAAACACATACCCAGACATACGTGAATATCATAGGTATATACCAGTTCATCTTTGTTCTTCTTCAGGAACTTATTAATAGCTTACTCTGCTTTATATGTGAAATGATCGACAACTAAGACATCTCCCTTTGCCAATACAACCCATTCCTAGTTTCATACATAACCGCTTCGTACACAAACCCTTAGACGCACCAACATAACAGAGGTACAGAAACACACACACACACACATAAACCCGGACATACACAAACATCATACATACATATATTCATACATACATAATATATACAAACATACATACATACATATATAATACATACAAACATAACATACATACATACATACATACATAATATATACATACGTACCAATTGTTCGCTAACAGCATCCTTATTCTTCTCCAGAAACCCATCGATGGCGTACTCTACTTTGCATGTGAAGTGCTTGATTATAAAGGCGTCTCCGTTGCCAAAGCGCGGCACCTCGAAGTGCTCCTTCGTCTTATGCTGGGTCTCTAGTTTTGTCAAGAAGGATGTATTGCTACCCTTGGGCAACCGCGCTTCCTCATCTAGGATGGCTGTAGGCGCATGGACATACATATACAAACACAGAGGGGTTTAAGAGGACAAATAGGTAGAATGTTACCGTAGCTGCACAGAACGGCGGAGGGGATGTAATACTATCCTGGGCGAAACATGTCTCTTCATCTAGGGTGGCTGTAGCACATGAACACACAGCTA